ATATATATGTTAAAATTAGCAGAAAATTAGTAAGTATTAGTAACCTCTTTATTTATTCACAATTTCAACATACATAAGGTTTCAAAAATAAAAAAGAATACACTGTTGTTCTTCCTTGAGTCTGTGATGAATTCTCAAAATATGCTAATAAAAGACATATAAAACATCAAGCAAATGTCAAAAAACTGTGAACAATTATTAATTATTAAAGAATACATAATAAATACAAATTACATTTTAAAGACATAGGATTATTTAAATACTGTAATATTAAAATCCATATTCTACATCACAACATTTCTTTATAAATTACATACAGTTTTCAACATGTTTTCTGTAGGCCTATTGGGTAGCAGACTTAAGCAATAGACATAGGTATAACTTCATCCCACTTCATCTATATAATTGATCACTTGGAATGCCCAAGGGGGTAAAGGGTGGAGTTAAATTTGACTACAAAGTTGAAAACTATTACTCCGTTATTGAAACCTCTGCCCCATAGGTAAACACACCACCTGTTTGGCCACAGGTGTAATTGTATCTAGTAATGCACATTATCATTATAAAAAGGATATCATACTTAACCCAAAAAAAGTGAGACAATGCCGTAAAAACTTACAAACACGTAACAGTTCACTTTAAAAAAAGCAAACATGAATGATATACAAAGAGTAAAGGTCATTTTCTAAGACTGAATGTCTACTCTGTATACCTCAACATTTTTCTCATAATCTCTCTGTCCACTGGCTTGACGACAAGCCTCAATACAGCAGGTCATAGGTTGAACTAAAAGATACATGAGTAAAATGCATCACTGACAAATTTATAATCAGTTACATTTTAAAACTTTGTCTTCATTTTAGAAATGAATTGCTCATAAACAAAATAAACCGCCATCGTATTCAATTCTTGCGGCATTATCAGTGGAAATTGTCTATTATAGATCTACCCATCTGATGATTAACGAGAGTTATGATTGGTGGAGAACGCCCAAGGGGGAGGAAGTGGATACTCCCATGGGAGACCAAAGAAAATTATTAACAGGTAGACCTACGATCTAGATTCTTGCCAAAGGAAACTATGGGAAAGCAATGTGGAATGAAGATTGTTGTTATATAGTACTTTTAATACATTGCAAACTGGAATATCTGGGGAAACAAAGGGAAAAGTTCAAAACTATGAAAAATAATTATATTTAGACTTTTTTTTTGTCAAATTAGCAAATAGAAAGGATTTGAAATAGGTAAAAAAGTAAATTCCACTTGAATTAAAAATATTCTAGTAAATTTACTTTACAAAACAAAATAAAAAGGAAATTTATAAACCGTAGCAATGCTGATAAAAATTATAACAGGCCTAAAACATTTTTAAAAATACAATTGATAATAATACATAAAATGTGGACAAAAGTTCAAAATGAACTAAGGTAAAAAGGCAAACACGAAAAAACAAAGAAAAGAAAAACCTATCTATAAGAATGATGTTTTTTTGTTTAATTTTCATGTAGCAACCTGGTAGCTGAACACCTCTTGTATAATATTCTATTTCAGCTTCTGGCCTTAGCCCAACCAGAGGATACGAAGGAATGCCATAGCATTTTATTCTCTGAATTAATTATTTATTGTACCTTTTTATAATTTAGAACCTTCAAATTTTGTAAATCAAAATAAATAAATAAATTACTATATTGTTGTAATTAATAATTTCATTCATTGATCTTTACTGGAAAGATTATTACCATACTTTTACACTTACCAATCTTTTTTGTAAATCTTTTTGATTTTGCTTCTTTTTTTGCGATTCTCTGAAAGTGGTGGAATGGGAGGGAGGGAGGGGGTACGAAGTTCACCTACAACATAAAAAGGGCTATTTTCAATCATGCATCAAAATGTTTGTACTGTGGAGAGACATTGACATTAATTCAAAGAGAATGTTTAAGATGTTGATATGTGGGAGGCTGGCACATCCATTGGGAAGATGAATAAGGCCCGTCACTTCCCATGTTGAAAACAATCAGGCATGTATACACCCACAATAAATGCATACCAAACTTTCAATATACATCTTACACAATGTATACTTCTTGATGATAGCCACATTACTATAGTGTAATACGATGGTTACTTAATAATTTAGCAGCAATAATATATCATTATATGTATTTCTGTCAACATCTATTACAATACTGGTTTTTATATTAAAATGCAAACAGTCATTTATTCAATTAACCATTAATAAGGAAACATGTACACAAACATTGTAGGATAAAATCAGTTAAAAAATTTCAATCATACACAAACACACACAGAGTACACTGAGAGTAATTACATTAAAGTTTTTTAGACACTACAAATTCAATTTGATGAGCTCAAATTACAAACATGAAATTTCTAGGGGTCATAATGTCCCATGCCGTTCGTCTGATGCCTACGTATGACATCATATCATGACCTTTACAGACCTCTCAATACACTCATTGTTAAGTTGAAGATTAACGCTAACTTCGAGCACTGAGTAGCCAATGAAAATTAAGCACTGGCACAGGATGTTCTGGCTTCTGTCAAACATGCTACGATATGACAGCGACATGACAAGTGCAGTGTATAATAAACAGAAATATCAAACGCATAGAGAAAGTCAAGGGATCATTCTTTATACAATACGCAGCCGAGATAATTCAGGATAGAAATTTAGGTTAATGATTCCATAGCAAGATAATTTGATTCCCGAAAACAAGGACATAAGACCATTATTAATGAAATGTGCATCCTATATTTTCCCCCTTCATTTCTGACTTATGCTGGATATCCGCGATAGCCTGATTCCCATCAGCAAGTTCACTTCGTCTTCCTTAAAGCTGCACTCAAAAAGACTTTGTCCTCCTTAAAGCTGAGCTTAAAAAAAAAAACTTGTTAGAATTTTGAGTTTGTTTTGCCAACAAGTATGAAAAGATCTAAATGCAGCCACATACTGTAAAACAACCAATCACAAAAAAGGAACATGTTTTCATCAGGCAAAATGTAAGGATGAATTGATTTAATTTGAGCCAATTTAAAAATAGGACAACAGGTAGTGAAGAAGCTACTTTAACTTGCCCTAGGCAACATTGTCAGACCTCAATCGTACCGTCTTCTTCGTTCATGTAGTTTGATTGATTATAGAATAATAATTGTTCGTGTATCAATTGCGAAATGAATTAAATTCCATTTACGTTCCTGAATATTTATCCAACACAATCATTAAACTATTTTAGCATTAATGAAAAAAAAATTTCAATAATGTAGATTCCCAATGACGTTGAATTAATTTGGTATGGAGCAATCCATCCAACGTTTTTTTATATGCATAAATCATATAACTCATTTTCAACTGTGGTGTTATAGAATAAGTAGTAATTAATAATTAATGCATGGAGTTTTTTTTTTTTCAAATGAGTATTTTATCAGTAATTTAACCCTCCTGTCTTTACCTTTGAAGAATTATTTTCTGTAAGTATATCCTCTAGCATGGTATATTTTAATATTTATGTTTGGAATGTTAAATGGCCAGAATTTGTATAAGGTGCTAATTTTTCTCCGCTATATTTTCAAGATTACTATAGGATTTATTTCCCGGTTCATTTTTATTGTTTTAATCTGTACAAACTGCAACATTTTTGTTGATGCCAAGTATTCCCGAAATGGAAATTGGTTAAAATATTTACTATTATTTCTTGTTTTATGTACCAAAATGAAAAAATAAAACAATAACAATATAACACCAACAATAATAATATTTTAATAATAATCATGCACATCTCAATTTTTTAAATTTCTTTTTCATCCAATAGCAAATATAAAACTTGATTGTAAATTAACGGAACTATAGGTTCTACAAAGTTTCTATAATAAAAATTACATTTTTCAAAATTCTGTTGTTTATATAATTTATTATAATGATGAAAATGAATAAAGTTGTTTTAAAATGTGTCATGGAGCGCTCTCGCACAACAATATCTCAAAGAACTAAAAGTCCTTGGGAAAAAAACTAGCTATATGCAGTATGGATAAAAGGAGAAGCCATGGGCAACAATGTATAACTTATCACTCAACAATACCACTCACACCACAACAAGTTTAATACAGACAGCTTAAAACACAACACTCTGAAGGCAACTCTGCAACAGGCACAACACCTAAAGAAGAAGAAATTTTATTCAATTCTTGAATCATCCCATGGCAACAACTAGAATTGAATGAACTAGTTACTTTGATGTTATGTAAACTAGCATATCGGAATCTTCTCAGACCTAGATTACATCGGTAAATCATTAATTATCAGTTTTTGAAGAGAATGTTGAATATGGTATGCATGGAGCAAGATTCAAAATTTTATTTTCTGCAAAAGCTAATATCAGAGTAAAAGTATAAGAAAAACATATAATAATTATTTCCATAAATATTTAACTAAAATACAACAATGGAATTATCAAATAATAATAGGAATGTTGCAAGGAAAGGAATAAAATGGTTGTCCTATATCCAAAATGATTTAGGCTTTCAAGACATTGAATGAAAAATTACTGACCATGTCCTAAGGTTGTTGGTATGATTTAAATTAAATACAAAGATATTTGTGTATCTGTGTGTTTACATAGAGGATTTAAAAACCTCTATGGAATTTTTTTTCATCAGTCAACTCCAGTACCATACCTTTTCACAATCAGATTACATAATAATACTTTTTCCATATGAGTAGATAATTAATGGAAGTATCTAATTAACCAGTTAGTTCCTTCCTTGATAAGAGCTGGCCTGAATACCAGCTCTTAACGTAATTCTTATTATTGGTTTAAACATAAAATGTTATACTGTACAGTAATAATAATCATGTGTGCTTCATATTGTAAATTTATTATTTTCTATTATTGTAGTTTTATACCACCTATTTCAGTACAAACCAACAAATCAAGTATCAAATTCTACCAGTAGATTTTATAAAATTTATTATTTTTAGAATTACCATGATTTTATAGCCTGTCATATACATCACTTTATAACTTCAGTAACCTTTGTAGTTTGTATTTCCATTTTTTCCGAAAAAAAAAAAAAAAATTTATGAACCACGATTGTTTTAGGCTATCTGTAAAAATTATCTGGTGAATTTTGACAGGTTCATTGTTACATTTAATCATCTTTTTAAAATATTTTGGGTACCCCTAAGTATCAGCAGTGGCACCAGTGGGGGGCTGGGAGGGCATCCCCCACCAGGCAGGCCTGAACCCCCATCTTCCAATGCCACAACAAGGTTGTAGGATGAAAAATAATAATTTGCCTATCCAAAACATTATGATTGCCAGTCCCTAATATTGTGGTCTAAAAGCACAATTTTGGGCCAATACTAAGCCATAAACACTCTCACCATGGACCCTACAAGGAATCATTATTCCAGGTACTGATTGAGGCTCTAGTCGGCCCCTTGGGTGGGACCCCGCTGTAAGACATGTCGGACTCGTTGGCAAATTTTTGTGGAACAGTGAAATAACAATTTCACTGTTCCCTGGTGTTGTAAAAAACATGTTCTGCTGATACAAACGTAGTCCCCCTCCTCCCCTCCCCCTCAAAAAATAAAATTATAGTCTTTTGAAAGTAGATTTGTCTGCAGATCAGTTTATTTGAACACTGTTTTGCAAAGGTTTCTATTATAGAAAAAAACTGTTTTGTTCCTAGAATTCAGTATTAGTTATTACACAAACCCTGTGGTTATTATAACTTATATATTAGAAGAGGAGATTTTTTTTTCTTAATTGAACCATAACCCAGATTATTATGTATATTGACAATTTCTGAGAACTCTTGAGAGGTTTACAGCTAATATTAAAAAAAGAATATATTATTTTCCCCTCCGTTAACAATTAAGGAACAATTGCTCGAAAATTTTGATATTATATTACAAAAAACTTAAAACGTAAACAGCTGAAAAAATTATTAACTTAGGCAGTGGTTTAGTAGGCCACCTGTTATTGGCCAGCTGTAAGGACATCTGCTATTGGTTGATTATTAGGTAACAGATCCTTGGCTTGGGTGACAATAGCAGTAAATTTATTGGAATTATTTAATATGTTGTCTATCAATCACTGAATGCCAAATGCCATTCAAGTACAGTACACGTACAGACTGTACCGGTACTCTATTTCCATACAATACAATTAGAAAAGTTAATACAATCACAGAGATATAACAATATTTTTAATTTTTTCAATTTAATTCATAAGATGGCGTAATAAACAAATAAAAAACAGTAAAAATAATTAAACGTTAACAAAAGTTTAATAAATAGTAGTTAAAAAACAAATATTGATAATAATAAATGTAAATGAGTAACAGTAGAAATATTTCAATAGAAATATATAACATTGAATAAATAACAGTATAAAAAAACAAATGTTGAAATTAATTGAATATTAATACAACATTACTAGAAATAAATATTAATATATAACATTTAGATAAACCATTAATTAATACTAATAATAGGTAAAAATTTATGATATTGAATGAATATTAATAGAAATTAATAAATATTTACAATTTAATAAATTACTATTAATAAAGTAAATAAATATTTACATTAACAGATAAATATTTATGACAAAGAATACAGTGTATTGACAGTGATTGAAGATTATCATTAATGGATAGATAATGAATAACAATATTGAATAATTTGATAGTGTATAAATGTTAATGGGAAATGCATAAAATGATACTGATGACTGATTGATCAATCGATTTAACTAATTAACTGCTTGATTGACTGTGATTAATAAAAAAAAAAGATTAATTATGCAGGTCGTCTATTAAAGATGAAATACTTTCTCCAACTCTTTTTGAAATGATTTGCTAATAAATTCATGAGATATCACAGCTTTGATAAATGAAATACTGCATAATAATAAGTAAAAAAATGATGGAACAGGGGCAGAGTTCTTGGATTACGGGGTCTCGTCAACTGTTATGTGCTTAGGGATGGGTTTCTCGCTGTCACAGATCAAAATTGACAGGAATACACTGCGGATTTATTGTACAAGCAACTTACATGGCTCACCTTGGCATTCAGTGTAACAAGTAACTAACAATAAATTCTCCTGATGGCAGACAGCAATGATTTCAGGTTTGACGTGAAATCAAAGGGATGGCTAATTGGCTAATTAAGTCACCTCTGGCCAGGGGTACACTACTATAGGTTGTCAGTTGTGCCAACAAAGCAACCATCAATGTCACAATAGTTTATTAAGTAAGACATCTAAGGTACTTTTATCAGATACAAAATAAAGCAAATCTCCTTATTTCATTGGGCTTAGTGATGTACAGTAAACAAGTTTAATAATATTAACAATGTAAAGATACATGATTTACACATTGTTTGTATTTGTGGGGTCAGGTTGATGAGGGGGACTGTAAATCTAACTTCATAAACCATTACCTACCCCGACTTTTAATGCCTCTTAAGATATACCAATGCAAGCAGTCATGAATAATTTACTTAATAAGCTTTTGTAACTAAAATTTGTATTTTTTTTCAATAGTTTGTGACACTTAAAAAAATCAATTAAGAGGTGTTCATTAAAAAGAATGAAATAGATTATTAACAACCAGGTTAATACAAAAATCCTTAAATTGATTACTAGCCAATTTAAATATCTATAGGAAAAGTATTATTTACATGCCTGTGAATTAATTTGTAACAATTTTTCCAATTCTATTTCGCAATTGAATGTTGATAATTTATTTAAACAATGTAAGAACTTCATATATTTGAATTTCATTTTTCATTAATCAAATGGGGAGGACTTTTTTCCCAATTTTATCTTTCAATTGAATGCTAATAACTTATTTAAATATAAAAAGTAAATATTTGAGTTTTATTTTTCAAGCTTTTTAGCTAATTGCTGATGATTTATATTTCAAAAGCAAAAATTCTAAACTATTAAAAGAATCGACAGTTGATTTATTTTATTATATTTATTCATTTGTAATTTTTTTTTTCAGAGGAAGACACATGATGCCTCTTTTTAAAAGTTTCTCTCAAGAAATTGAATAACCTTCATCTTGACTAGAAAATCTAGCCATTACCACATGTGTAATGAACACACTTAGTCTGTTCATGTTAAGAACTAATACACGTCCATCAATGCCTATAATCACTAAAGAGTAAATGAAATACAATGCTTCAGACGGAGATCACTGACGTATGTCCCTTGAAAATACAGTATACTTTGTCATTGAACGATATGTCAAACACAAATAATTGATTCTAAAATCGGCCCAAGGAAGTCTGAGAAAGACTAATAAGTTTATGGACACTTCCTTGTCTTGCGACTAATTTAGGATACTGTCATGATATGGATATGCTCAGCGCATAACACATTTTACACCTTCCTCTCTTCAGTTTCACGCGCCAGCTTGCAATAGCTGAGCTTGCTGGGTGGGTGCGGATACCACGATTGCACCATGTTGCCAATGCTAACTCAATCAAATGCTTGGTCAAGTGGCCACAGGAGATAAGGACGTCGGAGCAGCCGTTGATGTACTGTACGTCCTAAACTAGTCCGCAATTTTTTGAGGAACTCCTGTTCTACGCTTCATATTAACCATGACTATTATGATTTTAATAAAGTAGAATTAATTGTGTGAATTAATTGACGAAATGCTGTCGATTTTCAATCTTGTAAACACGTATTAATAATCAAAGGCTGCCCACCTAATGCAAGACATAACTAAATAATTATTATTAATCATGTTTATGAACACAGCTTGTAGTAGACTTAATTTGATTTTATATATTTGAGTCAGAAAAAGTACAGAAACCAACAAAACGTGATAAATAAAATATTAAAATACATTGTAACTTTTACCTGAATTCTCATACTGTTATACTTAGGAGTGGATATGGACCTCATTTTTGCAAAACCTACCTTTTTTTAATATCCTACTCAAAACCTGTTATAGTAAACACTTAAATGAATATCACCTCGTAAATAAATTTAAATCTTTTATGAATACTAATCAAATTCCAAGTTTTATTCTGAACGAATACAAACCACATTTATGTTGTTTTACTCTCATAAAAGTTTAATAAACGGTAAATGAAGACTAAAGAAAAAGCAGCGTAAAGCACACACGTGCAAACATAACAGTTAACTTCTATTTCCACTGACCGCTCTTCAACCTCTGAAGGCAAAGAGAATATTAATTAACGGGTTTCATTTAATCTTTTTTAGTATGTTCTACACCGTCACGCGGAAGATAAATGACTCACTTTGTGTCGAATCTGCATATCAAATGCTGAAAACAGCTCCCAAGTTGAGGACATATCTTTTAGATTCGACAGGCTGCAATTTGTTCTTTAAGGTGTATGATCATATTTTGCTCACCTTAACGGCTCCTGTGCTCCTCCTATATTAGTGTAATGCCAGCACAGTAGGCCAACCAGGTCAAGAACCTTGGCAGAACACAACACATATACCGCCAGAGGTTGGAGGGCTTTGTCTGCAGTTGCCATGGTGAAATAGATGTTAATCTTCTTCACATTACCAGAGCCTATATGCGCCTGGAGGTTTGCAAACAATTTGTGAAAAACAGACACATATTATTTATAAGACATACATTTGTTTAAAAAATGATGTTCTTTAAATTCTCTTTACATTTGGGAAATGACAAAAATATAGGATATGACATAAGAAGCAAGGCATGAGGTGTTAAGAATTATTATTCACATACAGAAGAATACACAGATGATGTATCTTTCTTATGCAATTAGTAGAAAATGTAGAGAATTTATAAAGATAATTTTATAGTGTTGAGATGACAGTTATTTTTCTCACACAACAGCAAGTCATTATTCACAGGCCTAAAAAGAGCAATGTTTTAAAGTCTGTGAAACCAGGTTTGTACAATAATTGAAAATATTCAGTAAGAAAACAAACCAATGACACTCGTTACAGACCACAATGCAAAGTAACGTAGTGCAGGCTTTGTGGTCTATATCGAGTCTGTGTTGATCAGCAGATCAAATTGCTAAACCTTGGGCTAGAGTCAAACATTATCGTATTGTATTGTTGAATAAATAATTCATACAAATAAGGGATAATTTTGAGTTGGACACAATTCGTGAGGATGGGTTTCTGCAAGAAATTTATATTTTAATTAATACATAATTTTGTAAGGTTTAATTCGGTGCTAAGAAAAAACAGACCTGAGATAGAGAGCAAATTCTGGTGTTTTGAGTGATTAGAAAACTAGGGCCTGTATGATTGTCTGCAGGATGAGGTAGTTTGATATTAAATTGAAATATCTAACCTTGCCATCAAATTTACTATACTCTGAAAATGGATTATTAGTTTGGTTAGGAAATTGTTCAAGTTGAACCGCAAGAGCTGATTTTACACTTTTTACCGGTGGCACAACCTCTTTCTTGGCAAACAGTACATTCAGATCTTCAGCTTGAAAAACAAATAGCATATAAATGTAAATACAATCTAGGGTAACATTTAACTTGAATGTGATATCATATAGAGTATTATAAGTAATTGGTTTTGAATCAGAATATATTAACAATAAACCAATCAGATGTCACTGATTAATGATTAAACTACTGTACTAAAATGTGCTGATTAATGATATTTGTTATTCTTTTTGAATAAGTAAAATTTTCAAACTCCCTCGTTAATCAAATAATCAAGAGAAGTCTTTTCCTCTGTTTAATTACCAAAAACCTCATTACGTTACATATATTGATCTGCTGTCTTCAAAGATATACTTTCATATTTATGGGAACGGTAGCTGCAGCTGCGAATCGGGCGTTCAAATCCTGTGGCAGTGGTTTCACCAGGATTTGGCTAAATTGTCCAACAGGGGTCTCGCAATCTCCAAAAGAAACGTGGGGTAACTGGAGAATCTGGGGAAATTTTGGGCCATTTTAAAGTAGTACTGAGATGACTCTCAGATACGTTTTTTGATTATATAATTTTTTAAAGGTAAGGAGACTTAGTTTGTGCTTTCAGCTCCCTCACCCCCTTCCTGGCCCCACTACTGCTACATTGGCCACTCACTCATTTCCTTTAGCTAAGAAAGTTTTGTTTGTTTGTCTCTCTCTATCCAAGAACGTAAATGGGCGGTTGGTGAGGATGTACACGTTCAACATAAGTAGAGTTGGTTGAGGCTGAATTTTTATGCATAGTAAAAACACTCCCTAGGGAGCACAGAAGGTTGCGCATTGCGTATGATTGTTACGGTTTCCAATGACCAGGGGCAATGTAAGACATTCAGTAGAAAGCAATACAAATGCAAAAAAAAAGTTATTGTTTCTTTTTAAATCGCTAAAATCATTTGAGGCAACTATCATAAATGAAATGACAGGACAAGAAGAGAAACGAAAAACTGTAAGACTAACTGTATTCTTTGTAGAAGGTTTTGTTCATTATGTGAAATCTAATCTGGATGTAATACGGTGTATTGACAAGGTACTATTATTCTTTCTTCATTATGGTCTTTAAGTCATCAAATTATTCTACGTAGGTGTCAAGTTCAAGTACCAAAACTAGTACAGAATTACAATTAGATCATCAATTAAACATGCAATCCAGAAAAAAATGCCTAAAACCTTTGCTACGATATTAATAAAAAATCTAAAAATATAAGCAAAGAATATACAATGGCAGATTTATGGAGAGGGGTTAAAATGGTCAAGAAAAACAAGACAGGAATTGATATGATGGGTAGATCTTGAGGAGTTTTTCATCAGTGACAGGTTCGTAATAATAAGCCAGATACCTTATTACTTTACAAACAATTCAGATGTGATGCATGACATTCGAGATGAGTCTAAAGTAGATGACTTAGAAACTTAACACTCACTGCCTCTGGTAAGACAGCGAATTCAAAAGCAACAATCGATCCAAAGTTGGGGGTTCGATTCGGCAGCGTTACAATGCTTGGCAATTGTTGAGATGTGTTTAGCCAAGACGAATACACTGAGGATAATTGGCATGACACATCGTACAAAAGGCGAACTGATGTCAACCATCTTATTGGCATGTCAGACGCAAAGATTTTTGACACAATGAAATACTCTATAGAGTGGCATCTTTACACTAATTGCACTGTCATGTCATTCCCATCAACTGCAAATAACCTGCCTTTAATGATTCCATCTTCGCTTTCATTTTAAAAAACCAATGTACATTAAATTCACTCGTTAAACTTGACAAATAACTCCCACTCCCTCCCCTAATGCCTTGTCCAGTATCAAAATTTTCTTTGAAAAAAAACTGTTGTATGCCCATATATAGTCATGATTTGCCTATATATGGCCATGTGATGTCATCATGACCATATTTAGGCATGTCACATGCTTTTGTCAAATAAAATTTGATAGTGTTTCTTTCTTTGTATTTTAATAGTTTGTTTATAACTGTATCACTTTGAAAACCAGTACACATGTACTGAAAGTACCTGCCATCTAAAGAAAGAAAGAATAAATAAATTAATAAATATTCTTGAAAGTGTTCAAAAGCTGTTCTAGTGCAAAATTTGTGTAATATATTTTTGTCTTAATAATAATAATAACAATGAATAACATTGATGAGACAGTGGCTATTAAAGAAATATCACTATACTGGAAGTGGTTTGGTGCAGTGGGAACGGTTTGGGTTTCCCAATCTCGTGGTTGGGGTTTCAATCCCCTTGTGTCCTTAGGCAAGGCACTTTATCTGCATTGCTTCTCTCCATTCAGGAGTATAAATGGGTACCTGGTAGGGTTAAATGCCAAAATGCGCTGATGTAGCTGCTGCAACTTTATGGAATACCAGGGAGCTTGAGTTTGTGTTCCATAATGTTTAATACAATGACCAGGGTAAAAATGTGAAGTGCTTAGAGGCCTTGTTGGCGTTAAGCACTACATAAGTCTAACGTAAATATTATTATTATTATTAGTATTATTATTATTATAAAATGTATCTGGATGTATTTGTGCAATGTATATTATTGTGGAAGAAAGAAATATACATGCTACAGTATTTTCTTTGCATTACACTTTATTAAAAGTCTCTATATTGTTTTTGTACTGTTGTCAACCTTAGAGGGCCTCTTCAAAACAACTTTGCTGTTAGAGTGACCTTCTCAAAATATAGTTCAGAACAGAAGTTGCCAATTGCAAGATGTTGTACTGCAAAGTACAAAGGCTTTAGGGAGAGCAGTCATATTTCAAAATGACAAAAATGCTGGTATGTGTTGGGACTGAACCCAATATCTTGGATTCGGTGTGAATGCACCGTTACCACTGTGAAACAGTGTTACTCTATCAAAGATAAATTGCGATACAATCTCGAAAACACCATAAAAAATCAGTTAAAAAATGAAATGGTCATCAAGATAAAAGAAGATTTATTGTAAAAAAAAAATAATTTTGGAAATTAATATGACTATTTTAAATAACTTCCAATAAGAAACAGTTTTCTGCTCAGTGGCATATCTAGTAGGTGTGCGGGGGACATGCCCCTCCAAAAATTACTCGCATCCCCCCTCCAGTCACCCCCAAAAATCACTTGCAAGTAGTTAAAAATCACCTAAAATCACCTTATTTTGCGAGTTTGCATTCCTCAATTGATCATAGAGCCCTCCACTTTACCTCCGCATCCCCCCCCCCCCCCCTACCCCCCCCCCCCCCCCCCCCCCCTCCCCTCTTTTTGCTGACTTACAAACATCTTGCTATAGTGCTATAAAAAATACATTAGAATTGATTACCAGCCAATTTTTTCAGGTCTATAAATAGAAGAGGAAACTATATTATTTATCTCTCAATTGCCAAGAAAATTATTTTCTCGTTTTCATTTGAAAGCTAAAAGCTTACTTATACGTTTAAAATAAACAATTTAATTTAAATGTTATTGTTCGAATTTTTAACAAAGTCTAAAAAAATAAAGATTCATTCGCTAATAATATTAATAGACAGTCTATCTTCTTGGTTGGTCAGGCTGTGTAACACATGATTTAGACAATTCTTTCATCCATCATCTGAGTTTAATACACTGATTTTCAAAGTTATTTTTCAAGCAAACATTAGTAAAATAATAATATTGATTTAGTTAATGCGAGACCAATACGTTAAACTACCCTTATCCAATCTTAAGACAACATACTGTTTGCAATATAGAACACTCAAGCATACACGAGCAACAAAGAAAACCCAGGAAGGTGAGAACACGCGAGAAATTCCTCGCACTGTCCAAATACTACTTGAGGACATGAGAATGATTTATGGCAAAAACATTGATCACCTAGCTTGATGTATGAAGAATCAATTCGCTTAATGACGGGGAAGAAAGAATAGAAAATGCTTGTGGAATATAGATTGGTACACAACTGCCAAAAAGTGACAGCTGAATACTACAGGGTTCTCTAATCAATAGATAGAACAAACTTTTCAAGGCAGAGATAACAAGAGGATGGAAGGGGGGGGGGGGTATGAGGAAGAAAAGTTCTCCCATAGGCTTCACCCTTGAAGCTTGACAAGAAACAACGTAGCTCAATCTGAAAACTATTAAGTCTGCCAAATAACAGTTCACTTAGATTTGTATAAATTTAAAAGCTATTAAATTTGGTAGAAGGTGGGAAATGTTGTATTCATTTGAATAAGATGTTTTATTGGTTGTTTTTCATCTGTTTCTATGTTCTTTTAACTGTAAGTTTAGTCTGTGCATGAGTCTTACTCTCAACTACATGATATAGCCAGTTACTGGTATACAGTATAGTAGCACTGAGAATGTTTACAGTTCTAAAATGATTGTCAGGATTATTGTAGAATGCCGACTCACACTAAATGAGACATTGTGGAACTACTACATAAAAGATTGATAATAAAGAAAATCTAAAATCCAAACATCTTTTATGATGGGTCATAAGTAACAATTATTTTATATTATCTGCATAATGGCCTTAGAAAAGGGTTATGAGCTCTTAAAAGCAAGGTTTATAAAATGAATGAATGAATAATGATGGTAGTGTGGTCATATCATAACATAAGAGCCAACTGTTACGAACGTATTGTCAGTAGAATTTAAGCAAAGGTTCGTTCTTTAATAATTATTTTGGTATATAGACAACAGAAGAGCTGCCAAAGATTGAAACTATTTCCATTCACGATATTTCAAATACGCAAATCTTACCACTGAGTTGTTGTTCATTTTCACGCCACTGAACACGTTTACATTGGCTCTGTATCTTGCGTTCACGCCGTAACTTCTCCAAGCGCACTGCTGTATTGGTGCGCTGCCTGAAGCCCATATCAAAAGAAGATTCTATGTCATACGACTCATTGTATATTGTCACATCTTCCATAACTAGAAAAAATATAAGGAAAAAAAAATTAATATAGAAATACTCTCAAGTAAATATCCAATCTCCAATTTTAGATTTGGTAATTTAAACCGCAGGATAATGAATAATGAAGATGATTTTATTTTAATGATAAAAAAATTTAAAAAATGATGATGTCAATGAAGAAAAACTATATGATAGAGATGATACTGAAAATAATTTTAATCTACCTAACTTGTAATTGAAAATTAAATTGCAGATGACATTGATAAAAATACTAGTACATGATAATGACTTGGAGATTTACTTGTAGAAAATTTACTTCTAAAAACCTAAGAACCAGGAGAAGTACACAAAAACTATAAAATTTCACAAACAACACAAGAGCCAAAAATAAAATCACTCCAAATATTGACCAATGAATACAGAATGGTATTGTGATAAACAGCTGCTGTTAAAATAATGACCATGAGTAAATCGATAAAGTAAGAAATACGTGGAAAGATCACAAGATACAGTAAATATTAAAGCTGTAAACTGTTTGTAGGAGAGATATTCACTAGTAAATTTCAAAATTATATTTTAATACACTCTAGTTATAATCAACTCGAAAAAAAGCTTTAATTTATCATGTGTATAATTTTAACAATAATAAAAACAACAGTACTATATCTATTATCAGAGGGGTAGTTGTGAAATGTTTGATGAAGCTCTCCCTGACCTTTACTGTAGTTGTTTCATTATGTATTGAGTACTGTGTATTCGTCAAATATCAAACTGAAATAACTGTGGTTGGAAGATGTTATAACGAAAAATAATATATAAAATCGAAAATTAACAAACATTTGAAAAAAAAAATATGGTAATAACCATCATTTAATCAAAACAATTTGTTACATGTACATTCCCACCATAATATAAATCATACATTATCTGGTGTAAATTTCATCAAATGACCAGTTTTATAATATCGCAAAGAGAGTAATTAAGTTTTTATGCTTAGTGCAATAATTAATGAATAAACTACGTAGGATGTAATAGTTGTATTGACAAGTTTAAGTAGAGTAGAATCTCTGAATGATAGAGACAACACACATCCGCCAAGTGTGACAGAGTCGTGGAAACTTCCCTCGGGGTACATCTATCAAAATGCAATCAAAAGCAAGAATAAATTGTGCAATAAATGCTAGCCTCTAAACAATAAGAACAATGGTGGCACCAATCCACTCCACACACATCTTCAACCAATGCTGTTTGGATAATTATCCTTTAGTAAACGGAGAATATATCCGGACAGTGGAATACAAAAGCATGTATCTTCGTTACAACATCTTCACTGGAAAGATAATAAGCGGTATTAAGTTTATTATACACTGTGGTAAACTCAACACTCCCGGTGAAATGATACTGAACTCTCTTTTGTTGACTTTAATATCAGTCATCAACAACTTAACTGTTATTCATCTGCAGTTAACAACTACCTGTTTGTGAGTGATGGATGGTGTATATTCAAAATTTGTGTGCATAATAGTACTTGTATGCTTGATGTCTGCATGCTTCATACAGTATGATATAATTGTCTACTTGATATTTGTGTGCTTAATATTTGCATGCAGAGATTTCATTTTTGCGTGCTTGATATTTTAGTGCTTTATTTGCGTGCTTGATATTTTAGCGCTTTATTTGCGTGCTTGATATTTCAGTGCTTGATATTTGCCTGCTTGATATTTGTGTGCTTGATACATGCATGCTTGATACGTGCATGCTTGATATTTCAGTGCTTGATATTTGTGTGCTTGATACGTGCATGCTTGATACGTGCATGCTTGATACGTGCATGCTTGATATTTCAGTGCTTGATATTTGTGTGCTTGATGCGTTCATGCTTGATATTTCAGTGCTTGATATTTCTGATAATTTCTTGATGATTTCTTGATAATCATGTGCTTGATATTTGCATACTTGATATTTGTATACTTGATACATACATGCTTGATATGTGTGTGCTTAATATGTATATGCTTGATATTTCAGTGCTTGATAGGCCTATTTGTGTGCTTGGTATCTGCTTGCTTGATATCTGAGTACTTGATATTTCTGATAATTTCTTGATGATTTCTTGATATGTTCTTGATATTTGCATGCTTGATATTTTGGTGCATGATATTTATGTGCTTGATATTTCAGTGCTTGATAATTCAGTGCTCTGATATTTCAGTGATCGTTATTTCAGTGCTCAATGCTTCAGTGCTTGATATTTCTGATAACTTCTTGATGATTTCTTGATAATATATTTGTGTTCTTGATATTTCATTGCCACTGAAAATTATACAAATAATTTGGAAGGTGTCCTTGAAGGAAATAATGTATTTTAGATGATTGACTTGACGTGTTATTATTATACTATTCAAAGAATTCCAACTTTTATATCCTTGTTTGCCATAACCTTTGCCAAATATACTTTGAAGTTCCTCAAGTTTCAACACAAAATTGGCTTTTATTCCCTTAGATACCCCCTGTACATGTTCAAAACAATGGCCAAATTAAAGGCAAATAGTTTCTTGAGGTTACTCTTCAAAAAAAAAAATGTAATGGGTAATTTAAAGTACAAATAAGGCAGATATGTACATTGATTCTCAATTTTTAATTACACATCCGAGAATTTATTTACAAACTGAACCCTGGCCATGGAGGGTCTTGAACCAGCACAAATTTAATTATCAATGCTCCTGACTTTTTAATTGATTTTCATAGTACTGTACATTTTTATATTCAATTTATTTTTATTATCTCTACATATTTTACTAAAATATCAGCTTCAGAATATTTGAAATTCATTCACTGCATTTTATTTCGAATTAAAAGTACATTTCTTTGTGCTCCCTGATCGTGAAAATCTGTTGATAGACAAAATTTAAAGGCCGTAAAGTTTAAGAGGTTTACAGTATTGAAGAAAATGTAGAACATTGTATACAGTATCATGTTTTTTATCGCTATAAGTTGTGCCTTGTAAAGGGGCCACTGAGGAGACATGAATAATACAAAATTGTACCCAAGTTTGAATAAATTGTAAAATAAAGGAGGGTTGTTTGGGTCTAGATGCAAGTTTACTGCTTGAAACCATGGCGGTAAAAAGAGACTAAGAGAATTTATTTGTGTTGTGGACCTACCTGCTCTTTTCAACCAAGATTTCATTGCCATTTTTTTAACTGCCAGAATCTGTGTCCAATTTCTCATAGAAATCAAGATTTCTATTTGATTTATTGATCACGTCCCTTTATCATGCCAAATATGTGGGGTTTTTTTTTTCAAAATACTGTACAGTAATATTGATTTTGATGATGATGAAGATTACATGATGATGATTATATGATACTAATAATGGAATTACAGTATGATAATGATGATGTTGATTACACGATAATTATTTCATGATAATGATTATGATAATAATATTAATGATGATAAAACCAATGGAGATGATGATGATAATGGTTACAATATGATAATAATGATACTTTATTTAGCATCAGTAAAACATCGAAGTTTAAAGAATACAAACAAACAAATCATATGCCATAGGCTTATATATCATTTTTAATAATCAATAGTTTTGAAGATTGGTTGTAGTAACTGACTAGAAACCTGTTAATTACAGTAATAACACTTAATGCAGATGATAATATTATTAGCTGTATTTTTTATATATCTGGCATCACACCATAAACATACAACATAATATAAAAATACATACAAACATATTTCAACTTAAATATCGACTAACCTGGATTTTCAAAGTAATGTTGAATTTTTTCTAAATAGTGGGGACAATGCAAAGGATAGCACAATAAGTTGTTTTAAATTTAAGACACTTATTTCCAATGTGGTCCCTAAAAATATCTTGAAAAAGGACATGAAGGTTATTGTGAAAGACAGAACCATGAAATTAGCAATGAAATTTAATAACGTATACAGAAATAAAAAAAAGGTAGACAATCTCAATAAAATGTAAAAATTAGGAAAATAAGGGCAGGTGTAAATAGGAGCATAGTGAAGAGCAGGGTAACTCCAAACCCAAGCTATTCAAAATAAATAATTTTAGTTAAAACATACAAAAGAAAATAGACCCATTGTCTGTATGTATAAGATTTTAACCATATCAAGTTGTTTAATTGTAAACAGCTAACTAACCAACATAGGCTTAGCCAGCGAACCGTCAGGCCGTCTTTTAGACGGCCTACAATTATTTAAGATGGCCACTTTTACCATGACGGCTTGGCCCAATCAGTTCAGCCTAGCCTAATTGGGCCTGGTCTACCTTTAGCAAATTCTTTATATTCTTCAAACCTATCGAATGTTACATTAAACTAAAGCTAAATCATATTTAAGTTTGATAAAAACAACATTTATTGATTGAATACCAATATTCGGTGGGGATTCGCAAAGATGGACGTGGCCCGGCCATTGGCTCAGTGCCACGCCCACTGGCTTCCATTTTGGACGGCCTATTTTGTTTTTCTGGCTAAACCCCTGCTATCTAATGTTTGTTATGTGATAATAAACACTCACAGAGCTGTTTAATTATGAGAATATACACTTGAGAACAATATATAAAAGTGGGAAGTGGATGCCCTTAATTTATAATAAAATATGTGCAACTTCCAAGGGAGTTAGGACTTGTTATCATACCACCAAAAATAATTACCAAAATAATAATTAAATAAACTTAAATTGATTACATCTTACTAAATATTTAGTAAGAAAATTATGTTTTTTAAGTATTTCATTGACCTTTGACATTTTCATGAACAGTTGAAACTATAAGGTTTATTATTTTGAGTTCAATATAGGTGAAAAGTGCTATAATAAAACTATACCAACTTTTTTGTTCATCAACAACCACAACTTTATGAGGTCAAGGCTCGAACATTAGTTTTGTATGTTTTATTCATACATTATGCAGATAGAGTTTAGGGAATTATAACTTGAAAGTAGGATGGTAGGGTGCAATAGATCTATTTCTCGGTTCACTGTAATTTTTGCCATGTTATATCATGGTGTATAAAGAGAATTATATACATATTAAATGCTGAATGGTACTGTATTGTGTATGTCTAAATATGTACATTGGCGTACGTACTGTATTTTCAGATGTCACTTATTCAACTTGTACCATGTGCTCTGTTATCACAACATTCAATCATGCCAACAAATGACAAAGTTTACCTTACAGCTAAAGTTTGTCACATTACAATTACAACATTTCTAATTAAGAGGATGTGGACATTACAGTAAGTACAGACAAAAAAACACAACACCATCTTACAATTTACAAACAGTTATTACAACACAGCCCGCGAGTGACAGTGATGCGTACAATTCATTAAGACATTGCACAGTTTTTTTAAGTCTGAAAATTGTGTTCCTTTCTTTTAAGACCTGAACTATGCTATTCTAAACAACAGTCTTTATTGTATTCTTTGGTCCAGTTCCCATGTGTATTAAAGAACGCGATAATGTTCAATTACACATAAACACAACGACAGCTGAGTCCCGGTTACCAATAAACTAATCAGTTGTATTAAAGGGGACGATGAGACCTCGGGCCAGATTAAAACTAGATTTTTAATTTTTTTCTCCATCATAAAAATTATTAATTTCAGATAAAATACTAAAGTTTTTCATAAAAATATCCATTAATATCTTCATATTTGATTTTGTATGATTTAAGATGAGGTCTCTTCAAACTAGTTTTTTCCTTTGTTGGGAGGTATAAAAACTCCTTTTATGTTTATAAAATACATATAGGCTCTGTCCATGTTATGGTTTATGTGAAAATAACTCTGATTTCTTACAGTAATACACATATACAATAACAAATTTGCCACATGTTTGTTGAGAGAACTTTTCAAATTGGAGCCTAGAAAATATAGACTGCAAGTGGAATCGCACAATTAATCTTTGAGGCACAGTTTCAATGCTCTGCCAACTAAACCATCTTAGTTGGCAATGGCAATGGTTCTTCTTCCTACTGTAGCTTCACTTACTTTATTGCAGTTTGCTCAGCAGTTTATTTAATCAATCATCAATTAAAACCTGTATCAGATTCATAGATAGATAGATAGAAATCTTTCTTTATTCTGGATACTCAGTCAGTATTGTTACACTGTTCTTCCCTGAGATCCAGGGTATTATCTTAAACTACCATAAATTGTATTACAAAATAAAATTAAAAGAAAAATGCATACAAATATATAAACAGTATATATACCGTATATAGATTATATAAATACAAGAAACAGAAAAGAAAAACAAAAGGGGAAAATAAACGAGGTTTTTAAGGATTGTAAGGAAAGTGAATGAATATTGCTATGAAGGTCTGATGAGAGATTATCCCATAATTTAACAGAACGATATTTAAAAGTTCTTTTTCCAAAATCATTTCGCCATTGTGGTAAGACTAAAGTGTTTTTCAATTTACTTCTTGTATTTATGCTATGGTAAGCATCAATTAATTTGTAAAAATTATTTAAATATTCAGGAACAGTGCCTGATAAGCATTTAAATGTCATTAAAATTATGTTCCCATTGTTGGTTTACATCCTTCCAGTTAAGAGACTCTACTACTGGTGTTAGATATGACGCTATTTCAAATATTATAGATACTGTAGGATGAGGATCTGCCTAGGTTATTAAGATCAGCCTAGCAGTGTCAGAATGGCACTGAACTCCAAAAGATATTGAATTCTTCCTTCTTTACTCCACTTTTAACTTTAGAATACTTGGTTGTATTACATTGCAATAAGAATATGCTGTTTGTTTTGGTGATTTCTTTTCAAAGTACATGAATGGATTACAACTTCTCTCCTTGAGCTTAAATAGTGCATTGCATTATTTATTATATATAAGGCTACTGATTATCAACTAATCATCTGGGCATAGGCCCTAACTAGAAATGTTACCCTATAAATAAAAAACAAAAAATTAATGAACATGGATCATTAAAGTAATTAGGTTTTTATATAAAAATACCTCATGAATAAGTAATACTATTATAAATGGTATTAAATGGCAAGTACAATACAGTATAATACAGTATGATAAATACAAAAGTACGTATATATTCTGTATAAAAAGTATCAGTTATCTCCTCATTTTTTTTGTCTTACTTATCTATGATAAAAATACTATCAATGTGCTTATGACGAAACAAAGTGGTTCTTGAAAACAGCGAGAGTGTACTTAACTTTTCAATTTTGTACTTGACAAATGGAAGCATGGATTCCTCGGAGGAACTGTTATTCATCATGAGGGAACGATGTAAAGATTCAACGACATAAAATGTTCAAAACTCTGAATATGAGTACCATGCAATGGATGCATTCCATTATGTTGAGTCTCTTAAATGTAAACTTCTATATGTCTTTCAAGCAGGTGACATAAATGGAGAATGTAATTGCACTGTAAACTATTGCTTGAAAACCAGGACCATAAACTGGTTTGAACCACACCATTTGTGAACTGGAGGGCTTTTCAACAATGAGAAGCCCCAAAAAATAAGTGAAAACTCAAGCAAATTCTAACGATGACCAGTAGATCTACTAATTATACAAGCTAAGAAAAGAAACAATAACAGATTGAATGAAGAAATGCCAACAACTGAAATTCTGATACTTCCACCTCTTTAGAAGAAAACATTCCTGTATACTGATTACACTAAAGGTTGTAAATGTATTGGAATAGTAGTCATTATTTTATGTCAAGACGCTGTTTTTTTACTTTTTTAATTCTCATCAACTCCTATAGTCCATTACATATAAAACAAAACATCATTTCTGTGACGACTATCTTAAATGGATGGTCTTTAAGTTGCCACAAGAATACGGTTAGCCACGTTTTTTGCAACGAATCACATTAAAACTACTTTTAACACTTCCTTTCCAGGCAATTACCACTGGACAATATTCCGCTCTTATTCGCCGGCTCCTGATCAATCATAGAGGAATTACCAGAACGTTTACATACGCACTCCGACTGGAAAAAAAAACCTATTCATACGTCGAGATCTAATGAAATCAATGAGGACGAGATCAATCAATGACAAGATAGATAATTACATGGATATCAATGATGGATGAATGTTTTCCTACTCATATTCACAAATTATCTTTCAATAACTAAATCACTTTAAGAATCATCATTGGGCATAAAAACTCATCCCGACTGCGGATTATCCGTAAGCAGCAAATTTTATCTCAGTGGAGCTGCGTTATTAAATCATATAGGGTTATTGGATGTTGAGAGTTGGTGCTCCACTGTCAAGAGCCTGTATGTTGAGATTGGTTGATAAACTGCGTTGTTTAAGTACAGACTAATTAACGCTTTTAAGGACATAATTAAAATCACCTTTGTTGGAGGTATTCTTGTAGAACGATTGTGTAAACATCGGCAGATAAGACCTCCCGAATGCGGTCACAGTTATAGCATTCTAAACAAATATGGAAATCAATCATTACTAGATCCCTTGCTATAATAGGCGACGTGAGTATACCCTGATAAGTAATCTTGATTGAAAATACAAGGTACCAAATGATTAACCTCACAAAACATGTTTGAGAATGAATGTTGTCATATCTAAGATATTACTGTAGTTTATAATTTGGAAGTATATAGATATGATGGCTATTTCTAATTGCTTTAAAAAATTTGATGACATTGATAACAAATAATAAAATAAATGCTTTACTTAACCATAGAAACACTTGTTCAACTAAGTAATGGTTTTTATTTATATTTATTCTTTGTACAAAAAAT